GTTGGTTTGAAAGTTTGGTGTGAGGATGAAAAGGCGAATCGAAACGCCCACTGACCGATGGGAGGCGTTTAAAAGGTCTTTCCGCTCTCATTACTACATCTCTGCTCCCCCGTGGACGGAATTCCTGCTCAGGAGGGGTCTGGTGCTTGAAATCGCTGGTAAAGTCGAGAGTGAAGGGCCCAGAACGCACGGCATGAGAGGCCGAAGGACCAGGATTGAGGTCACCAGGTGGTCGTGTTTACGTGCGGCGCTCGAGCCCCGCCGTCCATCCGGCCGCCGAAAAGGCCCTGCTGGCCCTCGGGCGCCCGGGGCCACGGCTCGACCTCGAAGGCTCCCCGGGCAGCCTTTCCGACCAAGAAGTGTCGATTTCCAAGCGTCCAAGTTCTCGCTAGCAGAAGTGATGGTCGGGTCACGTGACGGCGAAGGGGCTCGTGCGGGGAAATACCTGGGCCTTGATCTCAATGTCTCCCCTTATTTCGCGCTGGGGGGCTTCTGGCGGCGGTAGGGGGGTGCGGTGAGGGCAAGGGAAGGCTGGCCGGGATGGGAGGCTGTGGGTGCGTTCCAGGTGAGTGCAGTTTTGAAGGGCTGGCTGAATACCTGATCTCAAGGCTCTTATTAATCTCCGTATTATTGAAATTCCTATGTTATGAGTCACTGTGCAGGGGGATCAATATTTTTAGATCAGTTTATAATTGGAAAGGCGATTATTCATATTGCATCACGCTATTGTAGGTCATCTATGTATGTTTTTTTCTTCCCTCTATAGTGTACTTATTAGGAAAAAGAAGTGCTTGTGTGTATGAGGTTTAGTTTGTGCGTCATAATTCGAGTGGTTGTGGAAGAAAGTTGAGTTGGAGGTATTTATAACAAGAAGGCAGGTGTCGGGGAAAAGGTTTGCGTCACACAAGGAAGTTTCATTTATTGATATTGCATGGTAGGATGGTTTTGGCTATAGTAGGTATGTAGGTTTTGTTAAATTTGTATTAAATCAGTCCAAGTTCTGTCTTGTTCAATGTGTAGTATAGATTTGTTGCCTTTGCCAGAGGTCATAGTGTTAGCAGGACTTGAGTTGGTCAGAGGTTCAAGAATTAACGGCCAGCATTCCTAGGATGTCATCGTTAAATTTTGGTTCATTTTTTTAGTTTTGTTAGATATTGGGAATACTTTAGCATGACTGATCATGGCAATATTGGTATTGATGGATTCCTCTCACCCTCTACTGCCTTAAAAGGTAGGAAATTTGCTGCAGACCCCCCCCCCCCTCTCCAAATAACCACATTCTTGGCTCTGATAGTAGGAGAGGGCATGAATGGCACCAGGGAAATTATAGGGTTAAATGTTATATATAATATGCCCAGAATGAGTCAGTACATGCATGGGGTGTGCCCTCTGTGACCCTCTTCCTGGGGGCCACCGCCCCCACAACCCATGCAGTGGTAGACAAAGAATCTACCATGTATGCACACCAGGGTAGAGTGTACGACTGACATGCGGGAGTGCCCAATGCCGAGTCTCTCCTGTGCTCTATCCTGCCGTACTTACATGGTGGATATTTTGTTGTCAGGAGCAGGGGTTGGGGGAGCTGCAGGCAATGCAATTTCCCTGGTACCATTCAAGCCTTCCACTACTATTGAGGCCAAGATTGTGGGTATCAGGATGGTTTCTGTGGCATAATTTCAATATATTTGGGTAGTAGAGGGTATGAGATATCCATTGTGATGTGATGTCATTGTCACTGTCATTGTGATGGTCATACGAAGGTATATCAAATATTTACATTGAGTTTTTAGTACTTTAGTGTTGTCTGATTTTAAGTTTGTATTGCTGTGGATGTAGTTTGTCTTTATTGACATCATTATTAATTAGATTTCAACCCTGTTTTTTTTTTTGGGGGGGGGGGGAATTGAAATGAACTACTTTTAATGGTACTTGATGTAAATTAATAATGTTAAATGTTTTTTAGGCTCTAAAAGGATATTCTGAATTTAGTAAGAGGGAGAGGGAAATATAAAACTGTATTAAATTCTGTGGCGATAAGCTTTTTGTAAAAGTTCTTACTGTGCTGCCCACATGACATGAAAAATGTTGAACTTGGGAGGCACCAGGTTTGTAGTATAGCATTGAGCTGTATTATCCATCCCCCCCCCCCTAAATCAGACTTGTTTGAAATAAGCAAAAACTGCACTACTAGGGAGTAACAGTGATTGCAAGGGTCTGGATTCATACAGTGATATTTGTGTTAGTTTGTGCCGTTGGGATGGGGTCATTAGTTCAGGACTTGTGCCCTTTTTTGTAGGATCCCAAAATCCTTATACCTTTGATACATTGTTGCTACAAAAGCTTGTGCTAACATATAAAGTTTGAAAAAAATCTTAATTTCACATAAAAAAAGTTGATATACATCTGTTTGAAGTATATGCTGGTATGATTTATTTACAAGCAAAGTATAGTAGAAGCTTCAAATAAGATGAATAAGTGCCTGACTACTATACAACTTACATTGCTTATACACACCGTGCAAGGCTGTGGAAACATTTAGATGTATTTTTGAGATTCAGTCAAAACATTTTTCTTTTTATACATTGTTCTTCCTATGAAAAGTGGAAGACAACATTGGATAATTCCAATGTGATGGGCATTTACTTCGTCTTATTGGTTGAATTATAACAAAAATCAAGATACACAGCCTTTTCTTCTCTTTAAAGCATATAGAGAGGTACAGAATGACATTGAAGACATTCATCACACTGAAGTAAATATCGCATCATATGACTCAGACATGTTGGGAATTCTTACCATGTTGTTCCAGCGACCGTCGTAATCAACTTCACATTTTACCCATATCAAGTGAACATGTATTTGTTATGCAACTATAAAGTCACAAAGTTTATTTACACTTTTAATAGAATTTTTTATAAAGAAACTACAATGTGATTCATAATTAATAAGAATGTAATTCTCAATCTGAGGCTACGTGAAATATATCTGAAATATATCGTTCTCTGATTGGCTGGCTGGAGTTTCACTTTCTATCAAGGAACAGGTATACGACTTGATGCAAACAATATTATTTTTCAACAAGTTCCAATAATGTGTGTATAAAAGTATATCACTGGGTTAGGGGTTTCAGAGATGCTACAAAAAAGGCCTTGAGCTGAAAGGTGTGTTCATGTTATTAACTTTTACCTAAGATTCAGATAGGCTAGGGTGATAAAGTTGTAATGGTTATCATGAAGATTTTTTACTTTTATTTATTTTATTTTCCCCCCTTACAATAATCAATAATGTAAATGATACCCTGATTTATGACAAAAATGCATATCTCCCCCTTACCCCTTTACAGGGCTTTGAATTTTTAACGAGAAAAGCATTTTGAAAAGGAGAGCCATTTTAGTCACTATTATTCTTAGGATAATTTAGGTGCAAGTTTGGAAAGACATCATAGGGCCCTACCCCCACTTATTGTTAGGTTTCCAGATTTATAAATTGTAGCAGGATTATATATATTGGACATTTCAGTCCTGTTTAGGGTTTGTGTTTCTTAGGTTTCTGCATCCTGCAACACCTGCTAATGCAGGACCAGTAATGGACAGCAGTTAAACAAATATATGGTCCCTTGGCTAACCTTTTTTGCCAAACTTATCATTTAAACTTGCAGACCAGATCCATAGATGAAAATAGGCCCCTACCTGCACTTACAATGCCTCCCAACCTATGGGTCAGTCTGTTACAGTAGCTAGTACATTGCCAGCACAACCAACATAGTGCACATAGAAATTTGAGATATGAAAATAATTGTATTTACATGTAGTAGGTAGTTCATGGTAAGCTAGAAGTTGCCTTATTTATTACATGATGTGACAGAGTAACTGTGACTGACTACCTCGGTGGCTGTTTAAAAACAAAAAAGTGTTTGTCATTTTTGACAAAAAAAAATCATTAGGTTAACCCCTTCCCGATGGGTGATGCCGCTGTGCGTGAAAACAAATCACTCAAAAAGTGCTGTTCGGCTGTACGCCGCAGCAGTGTGCCAAAGCACGGCGAGCCAGTGATTCGGGCTGATGTACTGAACTCACACGCTCGAAGTCGGCGCACTGCCATTGTTTGCCAGAGCGTAGAGTTTTTTGTTTTCTTCACCCATCACCATTGTTAATAAATTAGTTTGAATATATACTGGGCATGCCTAGGAAATTTTAAATGTTGAATAACAATATCCATTACTGTTACTGAATCAAACTTCTGGTTTGTGCAACATATTTGCAATACTGGGAATTAATAGGTAAAATTGAAGAAAGTATATAATTTGCACAAGTGAAATTTGAGCACTGTCTTACACTTTACAATGCTCCTACTTGTAAAGCCATGCACATGGATTGTTGGATTGAAGGAGTATAAACTTGTGTACAGAAATGTACTCACTTGAAGCTAACTTTCTTTTCTGTAAATGTAAAACCTGATGTTTTTCTGGGTATTATTATCGTGTTTGGTGGGTGGTCAGAAGTTATTTTTTACTTTTCCATAGGTGTCTTACCTTGGAAGGTTTCCTTGCAGTATACTACTCAGGTTGATTTTCATTTAAATTTTTATTTATTTGTACTGCTGGAAAGTACCATGTTTCCTTCCCATCTGGATAAGATTGATGTATTGGAAATTCATCTTAATCTCAACCAGATATAATAAATTCTTTTGCACACAAGATTCTGTATTGACATGTCACAAACTACCTTTCTATAATAGTTTGTCAAGTTCCAGACAGTATAAGTCAAGGTGGCAGCACCTCCAAGTTCACTTTTCAATCTTTCCCAATATGTTGAACAATATAACAGTGATCAAGCAAGCAATACAATGTGGTTGAAACTATCAGGCTAGCCAGTTTTGCCTATGCAAATAGCCAGTGTGGGAACTTCTTAACAGAACTGATACACTAGCCAGAGTAAGTTCTGAACTCCATATCACAATTTAGTCAACAATCTTAGATCCCGTGACTGGGTGCACCTGAA